GCTGTTGGGAATTCTTTTTATGGCTGAGTAAATGACAGTTCGTTTTGTTCTTATGTGTGGATTTGAAGATAGACTAGCTCGACTGTAAGTGAACTGTGTACTTCGGAATTCTCTTTTTTAACTAGATCCCCTTTCTTGGGTTTTGTTTTCTGCTAGAGTTTATTAACCCACAAGCAATAGTAGGCACTAAAAGTTTAAGAAATTTTATTTGAAAAAAAATTAATTGGTGAAATTCCACAATTAATAAGACAAAAACTTTTTTGGTTTAGAAAAATAGTCTTATTATTTGCTTTTTATTCAGAATCTCAGTTCACCTCACAGATCACTAATGTTATATAGATACAGGAGTTAGGAATTATTTACATTAATAATTTGTTGAGTTTATGAAGTTGATTCTTTCTGCTTTGCATGTTTCCCACTTTGATTTGAAATGATTAGCACTTTCTTACCTTACTCAATTCTCTTTTCTTAAAACTAGCTCCCCTTCTTTTGGACGTAAGAAACCAATTTAGAACATTTTTAAAAATGTAAATAAATATGCATCTTTGCATATAATGAAAACCGCTTTGGGATCATGTTAAAATAATGATATTCTAAGTCACCAAACATTCACCCCAACTGAACTTTTTTAGGAGAAAGAGTTGAAGGCAGGTGGGAAACAGAAAGAAAGGGGCTGCTGGAAAATCTGAAGTTCGAAGGAAGGTCTTTGTCACTCTCATAATTCATTGTTTTATATTTGTATTTTAACTCATGTTGAATCTAGCTCTGGGAGGAATAGAGACAGAGTCTGAAGCGCAGTTCGAATCCCTAATAAGATTTAAACTCATTTAGATCACTGATTTCCTACTCACTGTACAAAAAAGTAAAGTGGCGTTTAGGCCCTAAATGCCTCAGTGTGAGCTGTGAACCCCACAGCTCTACCGGATCCATCTGGACTTCAGGGAGATGCGCACTGAGGGCTGTTTACCTAGAGGAGCCACGTTTCTCCTTGTAAGACATTATTGAAAAGGCGTTGCTGGCACATGTGTACCCATGTAACAAACCTGCACGTTGTACACATGTACCCTAGAACTTATAGTAATAATAATAAAAGAAAAGGCCTTGCCTATATTCACTGGTGTTTGTATTTGAAAAATTTGCTCCAATATTGGTAGTTCTCTTTCTTGTATTCATTAAGAATTTTTGATGTATACCTGCTTTCCATACACACACGTAAACTCGTATGTTCTATAATAACGAATTTAATAATCTTTGAAGATATTATTTTTACTGCATCCTCAATTCACTGCACTAATTCACGCAATTATAAACTGCAGAAAGGAGGAAATACTCCCATCTTCGATAAACAAAGCAAAATCCTTGGCAGAACCATGCCCCCCTGCCCGCGCTCCGACCAGCCCACCCGGGCAGCCACTCACCCGTGTGCCTCGTCCTAGCTCCCGGCCATGTGGCCAGGTGAATCCATCCTGCCGTCCGTCTCCACTTTCGCCAGCCCGTACGGTGAGCACCGCCTGCAGGAGGGCTGACCCCGCACGAGGGGCACCCACTACTACCTCAACATGTGGCGTGCGGGACTTCATTCGGTCCACAGGGCTGGACGGCCTGGGGCCGAGGCAAAGTGCAGAAAATAGCCATGCTTGCCATTGATCTTTGGGATCTTAATAATACTGAATTAGATAGTTCTATTAGCTGGGGTCTCAGTGCCTTTGTTTGAAATTATATGAGATTAGACTGCAGATGTTCCAAGATAACAACAATTTTCTAAAATGTGTAACCAATGGAAATCTTCTTTCTTTTAGGGTTGGGTTGATAATCTAAATGGACCTAGCCGCTCATTATTGCGGTATATAGGGATGAAGAAATAACCTGAATGTAGTGGAGGAATAGTAACAAATTCTAGTGCTGGCTTAGCTTCATTGATCCAAAAACGTAAATGCTACTTTACTATCAATTGAAGCATATTATTTCAACTATTCTGGTTTTAATATGAAGGCAGGATGAAATTATTTTTATTCTTTTAGAATTTTTTATCAGGAAAACAGGTAAAGCGCTATCAATTACTATTTAAGAGTTCTATTTGAAAAGTCTTTGAGAATTAAGGATTTTTCTTTTTTCTTTTTTTTTTTAAAAAAAAAAAAAACTTTTTTAAAAACTTAAATACCGGTCACAGTTTGGGAGGGGGCCTTGCACAGGTGGACGGGGCCTGTCTGGCAAGCGTGGCAGCTTCCTGTACAGGGCAATGGTGGTGCGGATGCGGAGAAGGCGCGTGGGCACCAGTGGCCTGTGCAATATGGCAGATCGTGCCCCCTGTGCTATGGGGTAGCAGTAGCATATGTTGTACCCTGAGTCGAAGTTCCACGCTGCATCCATCCCATTGGCAGTGGTTACGGCTTGTCACTTGTGTGCTGCCGCGCGAGATGTGCCTTCGGGTGAAGATCTCTTGGCCTGTGGGGGCTTTAGCCCTAAGCCGCCAGCGAGGCTCAATACATGGTGGTGCCTTTCCCAGGGCAGGAGTCCGCCGCCACTGCTTGGGGCTTGCGCTCCAGCAGCTCAGCCTGGAACGCCGCGCCCCAGAGCAGGACGCAGGCGACTGGCAGGGTGCCAGGCTAGCCAGGGCTGTGGCGGCGGCGCAAAAAGCTACGAAAACGGCGGGGTGGTGGTTGGGGAGCTGGAGAGCTGGGGGGCGGCACTCATAAGGCCCGTTTGGGTGGTCCTAAGCCAGCGCCACGGAAGGGTCCAGCGGGCAGGAGGGCGCGGCCCAGTAGGGGCTTGAGGGCGGTGTCGGGCACGGCGGTAGGGAAGCCCGGGACTTCGCATGCATGATAGCCGCCGGCCCGGGGGGCCCTCGTGTTTGAGGCGCGAGATCCATGGTGAACCCGGAGGTGCGGCTTGGCAGATGTCGCTTACGGGGCCCATAAGAGACTATAGACACAGGCAGAAACTACGGCAAGCAAGACCAGTTAGCGGATTAGCACGCGGCGCAGAGTGGCATCGGCCATGTATTCCCTAACCTTTGGGGAGAGACACGAGAGCGCGGATCACAGGGGTCGGAGATCGGCATACCTAGGACTCGCATAGACCCGTCAACACACCACACACGAAAAACAACAAAACACAAAAACACATCCCCACAGCACAACACAGTACCGGAGCGGAGATATGAAGAAGGAGACACAACATTGGTGTCCCATATAAATTATTATTGGGAAGAGAGCATAGGACGACAGAAACGTCACACAGGACAGAGCAATACAGCAGTGAACGAAAACATCACAATAGAGAAGAGGCACTACACCTCCAATCACATTCACGCAAGGCGGAGCATTACAACAACGAGATACACAACAACAACAAGAATAAAAGAGACAACACATATACCAAACACACCAGAACACAGGATAAATCAACGAGAGTGGCCATAGGGCAGCTGTGTGGCAGTGTTTGGGTAGCAGGACGCAGACGGCGGGTCGCGGGGCTTCGGGTGTTCTCCGGCCCAGGCTCCAGC